GCGATTTTCCTCAAGCCCCCAAAACACCTCACCCCCCCACGTGAAACGTCGTTTAAAACCAACATGCTCTTCCCAAAATGCCCTTTGATTTAGCCGCCTATCGTTTATCTATATCATTCCTCGTCGTTCGTACCTTCTCATCTCTTCTGTCCAAGCGAACCGACTCCAGAAACCCATTGTAAAATCCTAGCCCTAAATCAATCCACTCCAAAGCTTAATCGGAAAAAATGATCGGCGATTCAACCCCTAAAGCAACCTGACATGTCGACTTCAACGAAGACGACGACGCGTCGCAGTTCGTCGTCTCAAAAAGACTGTCGACCACATCAAAGTGGAATGAAGCTGGCGCTTCAATTGCTCATGTTCTATAAGACATCGCAGTCAGCCATTCCCATCCCTCAAATCCAGCTCAACCCAAAAATCCAGTGCAGCGAATAAATCTAGAGGACAGCTTCGGCACCACCAGCACCGACGCCGCCTCTAGAGCGCTCCTGGATCTACAGAGTGAAGCTAAAGAGAAACACATTGCAGCTCAAATTACTGCAAATATATGTTGTTTATTGTGTTATTGTGAAGGATTTTGTTAAGTTGTGTGATTTTTTACCGTAAATATATGTTGTTTATTGTGTTATTGTGAAGGATTTTGTTAAGTTGTGAATTTTAGATTGTAGTTGTCAAGGAAATGCACTAATTAATTGTTGACGTTATGCATTAGTTGTTGAGGTTATTGGTCTGTTGCCAAGGTTATTGTTCAGTTGTGACATATGTCATATTAGTTGTTAAGGTTTAGGTTTACTTATTAAGGTTATGAGTCGGTGGTGAAGGTTACTGTTTACATACGGCTGCTAGTTGTGAAGGTTATTGTTTACTTGTGGCTATTAGTTGTGGAGGTTATTGTTAACTTGCGACCTGTTAGTTATTTGGGTTATAAGTTTATTGTTAAGATTATTGATTCGTTGTTGAGGACAGGTGTTGCTTGTGAACCTTATGGATTTGTTGATAACTTTACAGCTATTTTGTCAAGTTTACAGCATAATTGTTATTGTTATAGAATTTTCTCAACTATTCATGTATTGTTCTTTTGTTTTGTAGACAAAAGGCAAATACCACATCTGAGTCACTGCCTACTTCAAGCTTTACTGCTTACTACTAGTTCATGCATACATTAGTTCAGCGTATGGAGCCAAGACACTGGGAGGCATACAAAGATAGTGTATTCAGACACTACATTTATTTTGGCCCTTCTGGTCTTGATCTTCCCACTTTTGAGCATATTCTGAGACAGTGGGATGATAAAAAGATAAAATTTATCTTCACTGATACAAAAACAGGAGAAGACATTCAGTGCTCATTCAACCTTCAATGGGTAATGAGCCATACATGGTTCTCCAATGAGGGGGATCTTGTTGACCCCAACCGAGACCGAAAAAATAGAATATGCTCAAGGATTTTCAACAAACCCGAGGATGATAGTAATACAACTTCTCCCCTAGCACCCACCAGACGCCATGTAGAGGATCTTCTAATGAAGCTTGTACAATCAACCGATCGTCAAGATGTGAATGACTTTGTACTGCTTCAGATCTTTTATCAGCTGAGCATGATCTGGTGTCCAAGTAGTGTTCTTGGCATTCCTAGCTATTTATTCAAGTATGTTGACAGCATCGAATAGGTGAATAACATTGCCTATTGAACCTACATATTCAGTAAGACATTTGATGTGATTGAAAGGGCATTGAAGGGTCCTGGTCCAGGGAAGAAGATTGTATATCTTCAAGGGTGTACCCAGCTTATATGCGTAAGTATTCTTGTTTTGTTGTTATGGTTGTGTACTTTTTGTTAAGTTTACAAATTAGTTGTTAAGGTTACTGGTTGTATGTTAATGTTACGGGTTGGTTGTTAATATTACGGGTTAGTTGTTAAGATTATGTGTCGGTTGTTAAGGTTACAACTTTTTTGTCAAGGTTACGCTTTTATTGTTATGGATGCTTATTTGTTATTAAGGTTAAAGATGGTTGTTAAGATTCTCTTTCTAATATGCAGCTGTGGTACTATGAACTTACTGGCATCAAGAAGCCAGTAGTGGGAAGTACGACGCAACCTCCCCTCACTAATTGGGTGAAACTGTGAGATATTGCGGGATCCCTGAGATTGGTCATTGTTGTAGCTAAAGCAAGGCAAGCTACTATAAAGCTTCCACAGTTCCAAGGTCAAGTACAAACTATTGAGAGAGGTTTGCGGGGGAAGGAGCAAGAGAAGGAGTAAGAGAACAAGAGAAAAGAAGAGAAGAAAGAGAGAGAGAGAGAGAGAGAGAGAGAGAGAGAGAGAGAGAGAGAGAGAGAGAGAGAGGGAGAG